TTGACAGAGAGACACAGCGAGAGAGGGAACACAAGCAGGGGGAGTGGGAGAGGGAGAAACAGGCTCTCTGCGGAGCAGGGAGCCTGATGCAGGGCTTGATCCCAGGACCCTGGGACCATGACTTGAGCCGAAGGCAGGCGCTTAACGACTGAGCCACCCAGGCGCCCCTTATTCTTTTACAACCTTTCAGGAGCAGTACAGGAAACTTTCCCTTAAGCTTATCCAAAAAGTGTCCATTCTGGGCCAATAATGATAGAGCCCATGATCCATATTTCCCCCTAGCAGAGTGCTACGCACTTTCTTCCATTTTCAACACCCTTCAAATACACCGTGATAAAATCAAAGGATAGAATTGAGAGGGAGGGAGTAGGGATGATTGGCAGACACCGTATCCGAGAAAAGGACAAATCAGCTGGTTCTATACCTTTTATCTTTTCTCTAGATGGTGCTTCCCTTTTTCTTCCTGACACTTTATATTTGTCAGCTTGTGCCCTTAGTCTGCTTGGGCTGCCATAACAAAATACCCTGGGCTTGGTGGGTTAAACAACAGAAATTTATCTTCTCCTAGTTCTGGAGGCTGGAAGTCCAAGATCAAGGCACCAGTCAGTTTGGTTTCTGGTGAGAGCTCTCTTCCTGGCTTGAAGATGGCTGCCTTCTTGATATGTCCTCACATGGTTTTTGTTCCATGCATTGTGCAGAGAGAGAGAGATCTCTTCCTCTGTTATAAGGTCACCAATCATCTTGGATTAGGACCCCACCCTGATGACCTCATTTAATCTTAATTACCTCCTGAAAGCCCAAACTCAAAATACAGTCAAACTGCAGGGTGGGGCTTTGACTTGTAAATTTAGCTGGGATGTAATTCAGTCCATAGCATGCTTGTAAGCAAACATCAAAATGATTGCCTAATTTCTTAGAATTTTGGCTCAGACCAACTACATCCTAATTCCATAAAAAGAAAGATATTTTATAGGAGCTGAGTGATAACCACAATGACTGCCTTCAAGGAGGAACCAGAAGGTGGGCTTTGGGGACAGTAGGCCTGGTCAGTTCTGCAGTGTCCACTGTCTGCTGAGTTGGTGGCCCAAAGTATCAACTCATTTCCTTTTACGACCTGGTCAACAGAAAGTAGGACAGAGCTAGATACTTATATCTTAATTTAGACTCTCAATTATTTAAACAGTATAAGAAGGCTGGGCAACAAGGACCTAAAGCCAAACTGGAAAAGGGCTCTGAGAACCATTATGATAGCCAGTCTGGTACCAATTGGGATAAAATAGGTTAATATCAATCATGACTCTAGAATTACTATTCGTGATAGAAAATCCATTTACTTTTAAAGTCAGTATAACATTTAATAATTTTATATTATTAAGACTGATTTTTATACTAAATCTCTTCAATAAGATGAGAATGGCATATTCTAAACATGCATTTCTTTTGTTTTTAAGATGAAGTTGGAAGAAAAGATAGATAGGGATTGAAATGAGAGTTTATCCAACTTAAAAATTTCTAAGAAAATTTAGTTAATTGTAAAGATTGAAATTGGGCAAAATATTCTTGACTTCTGAAATTGGATGTTCTTGTTCTTTTTCTCTT